TCTCCCATCCCCCTCCCAATGCTGCCTCCACCAGGTCCTTTCCATAATCACCTCAAAGAATAGATATCTAGATATATTCCAATTCATAGGTTACACTTGAGACATCGTTTCTATTTTCCAGAATGGCTGCTGATTTTACTGGGACACTGAGCTTTGCAAAAGAGTGTTTACAGCCCCAAATTGTACCATGAAAGATTAGACAAGAGGGCAACCCCCTCAGGTCACTTCCCACCGTGGGAGTTTTTCTGTCTTCACCATAAATCCTTTTTAAAATTTTTTCAGCTGGAGTCTCACACTGTCGCCCAGGCAGGAGTGCAGTGGCACGTTTACAGCCACCGCAGCCTCGACCTGCTGGGCTCAGGTGATCCTTCAGCCTCAGCCTATAGTTGCTAGAACTATAGGGACACACCACCACACCCGGCCAATTGTTTTTGGTTTCTTATAGGAATGAGGTCTTGCCAAGTTGCCTGGGTTGGTCTTGAACCCGTGAGCTCAGGCAATCCTCTAACCTTGGCCTCCCAAAGTGCTGGGATTATAAGCGCGGGCCACCGTGCCCAGCCAATAAATCCTTCAAAAAAAAAAAAGACAAGAACATTTCTGTGTTGTAGTGGCAGCCTCCCCAAGGGCTGAAGAGACTGTTTTGAACAGAAAAGTCACACAGAAGGTGATTATCAGCAGCAAATCAGGACAGGCAAGGGACATTTTGCAGATTCTCTTACTCAGCCCTCACTACCTTAAATAAGGAAGCAAAGTGCCAGGAGGACAGTGGGGAGGACCTCTAGAGGTGGCCTCTGCCCCACAATGGTGGTGTTGCCTACGGAGAGCCCACTTGTGGTCAGTAGTCATCATTGCAGCTGGGCAGGCAGGAGAACTAGCCGCTTTTTTTTTTGGAGTCTCACTCTGTCGCCCAGACTGGAGTGCAGCGGCCGCTCCCGGCCACCGCAGCCTCAACCTGCTGGGCTCCGGTGATCCTTCCGTCTCAGCCTTCCGAGTAGCTGGAACTACAGACACGGGCTACCATGCCCGGCTAATTTTTTTTTATTTATTGTAGAGATGAGGTCTCGCCAAGTTGCCCAGGCGGGTCTCAAACCCGTGGGCTCAGGCAATCCACTCACGTCAGCCTCCCAAGGCACGGGATTACAGGCTGAGCCACCGAGCGCGGCTCGAGCTGCTGCTTTTCCTAACTCTTCCACCCCTCGTTTACAGGGTAAAGAAATGGAAGACTGGGTAATGAAGGAGACTGCCATATTTTCGCATTTACATTTCCAAACTTGGAGGGGGGATATTCTAGCAGTTTTCTTCAACATCAAAGCATAGAAAGGGAGAAAGTGACAATTTAAGTGGAGAACACGACTATCCTGTTTTTTTCTCCTTCAAATTGTGCTGGGGTTGAAAGGAACCTACTTAATACCTCATCTCTATCCCATGGCACGGTCAATGAGTACCACCACATAGCTGGACTCAGGCATTTTAAAGACTGGAGACAAGTTCTACCCTGGGGCACACAGAGGTGGTGAAGCAAACATTCGGGTATAACAGCCTGAAAAGCTCAAACAATGAGTAAAAAGTAGACTAGCTTCAAGAACTTAACAGTCTGATAGCTGGAGTAAGATGAGTATGATAGTGGTGGGGCACAATGGTTCACACCTATAATCCCAACATTTTGGGAGGCCAAGGTGAGAGGATTGTCTGAGTCCACAGGTTCGAGACCAGCCTGGACAACTTGGCACGACCTAATCTCCACAATAAATTTTAAAAAAATTAGCCAGGCATGGTAGCGCGGCTGCACTGCACTCCAGACTGGGCGACAGAGTGAGACTCCAACTCAAAAAAAAAAAAAAAAAAAGGCAACCCCTTCCAGTCCCCTCCCACTATGGGAACTTTTCTGTCCTCTCAATAAATCCTGCTTAAAAAAAAAAAAGGCCGGGCTCGGTGTCTCAACCTGTAATCCCACGCCTTTGGGAGGCTGAGGTGAGTGGATTGCCTGAGCCCGTGGGTTCGAGACCCGCCT